AACACACACACACACACACACACACACACACACACACATCACATTATATATACGCACACCTGTGTTTTTGTCCTGACAATGTGATCACACACTCGTCATTTCAGCTGGAGACAAGCCATCTGCAAGACCAGCAGGTCCAACATTGACACGGTGTCATAATACGAGCAGCCAATCAGCGCACGATAAGGAAATCGAAAGTAAACACAGAAGACCTGCAAGACCCGACGCCTGATAGCCTGAGAAAAACAGAACAGGGATGCACAATCTTTGAGCAATATAATATTATAGTTATATACAATCGCAGAAAACAATACAATATTGACCATCTTTTGGAGTTTTATACAATCTTTATTTTTTAATTCATTCTACTGCCTGGAAATTGAAATAACAATACCGACACATTTTTCAAAAATGTTGTTTTCAGAGCGTTTTAGGGGTAATAGTTGGAAAACTCTTGTCCGTAGATATGCGGTGTGTACACATTTATTAAATGAAATGCAATTATCATCAACATCAGTATCATTACTCTTCGACCTTTATAACCATTGAAGTCGGTGAAGACACCATATCCTAAAAATACCGGGCTGGCCATTTCGTAAGAATGCCCGATTTCAGAATACCAAAGTCAAAATATTCTTTTCTAAACTGTTCTCGGGGAAGCCTTATGTTGGCGTATAAAAAAAAAGCGCTACACAAAGACACATTGAAAAATGTCTGTGAAACATAATAAATCCTTCCACATAGGAGAGCCTAGCTCCTGACAGACCCGGCTGGAAAGCAGGAGTTACACTAAGTTACAGTGGGCAGCAAGTCATATATAAGGCTTTACGAATAAGAAATGATGAATTGAATAGAAAGGCCCGCAAGTTGCGCACGTCCACGAGTGCGAGTGCAGCTTTTGAATACATGTACTCATAATGTGGTAAACTGTTCTCTGCCAGAACTGGTCTCAATGGCCATAGCACAAGCTGTTTTATACTTTTTCCAATTCTTCAATTTCGCTTGAGAAATATTCTCCTCTGCTGATGCATTGATCATTGTCAGACATTGGGACGAATTATTATTATTATTATTATTATTATTATTATTATTATTATTATTATTATTATTAATACACATTCCCACCCACCCACACACCCACTCACTCACACACACACACACACACACACACACACACACACACACACACACACACACACACACACACACACACACACACACACACACACACACACACACACATGCATATGTATGCATACTATGAAAGGTGGGCGGGTCAGATGAAAAAGAGATTGTGCCTACTTATGAACGATTGTGTGGAGAAACCCCATTGCGACCTATATTTCAGCATCATCAAACAAATGGAACCATGTGGGGCTTTTTCGTGGGTTTTTTTCGGGGCGGGGGGGGGGGGGGGTGGGGGAAAAAGAAAAAAAACTCCACTTTTTTTTTGGGTCTTTTTTAACCCCCCCCCCCCCCCCCAAATCCCTTTTTTCCCATTTCCTCGCTGCCTTTCTCGTCACGCTAAAGCGAACACGATCAAAAGAAAAAAGACAAAGGCCACTCCCACTCGCCAGTACAGGGGACAATGCATTCAAGCCGTGGGCTGGGAGTTTTCATAATAATATATACTTAGCTCTTCCAGGAAGACCTGTCCTAATGCAAAGCAAGCGACTGAGTCTTCCCCTCTTCGGCGGTTTTTATGCGACCTTCGGCAGGATTATTGTTTCTTAAATAATAAAAGAGGCACTGCAGGAAACAATAAAACACTGACCTATTTAGACTTCAGAAATAAGATCACTTTTGATTGTTCGACTTGAAGTTTTATGGTAGGTTGGCAGCAAATGTATTGAGCCCCTGTCGATACAGTATAGATCTGAACGATTCGTCGGCAAGCTATTCAACTTCGCAGGAGAACGACCAAAAAATCATTTTAAAAACAAACAAACAAACAAACGATTTTACCTTTTAAAAAGCGGTAGGTTACCTACGTTGTGAATATTTTCTTGCTTTTTCAACATTTGAATTTCAAATTTCTATAAAATATTTCTCAAGGACATGGAACCAGTAGCAAAAGATTAAGAAACTGCAACAACAAACAAACATTTCAAATGTGGAGCCTAATAAATCCTAAATGACTGAACATCGGGTTGTTTCTTTGTTTGTGTAAAGAGACGTCACAAATGTCAACACAATAATACTTAGGCCTATAATATTTAGCTTCGGAAACTAAAGAAGTAGGACCTACCAGTGGCGCCCTCCAATTACCCGCAAAAAAACCTGACATTCCTCAATCCTCCTCCTCTTCAACAAGAACACAGCGCCAGAAAGATACAATAAAATATCCCAACGAGTAATTCTGGTCCACTCTCCTCCCTCAGTGCCAGACGGCCGACAAAGTAGTTTCACGGCGAAGAAGGAGAAGGTGAAATGATATTAATTACGCACGAGTGTTCGGGTGGCACAATGCCAAGAAGCGGACGGCCCAGGGCTAGGATTAGATCAACAACATACAGTTCAATTAGGTAATGCGAAAAAAAAAAAGAAGTAGAAAGAGTAAATCGGCGTCTGTCGTGCAATGGTTAGTTTCTTCGCTGCTGCACACATAAGACACTAGTTCGATTCCAGCACTGGAGCGTTACTTTATTGATTATCTCCGGTCTTTGCGCTTGGACAAGATAAGATAAGATAAGATGATGATTGTGATGGTGTATTTAAGGCACTCCTCGAGCACCTGAATCATCAATGCCGTCAACAAAGGAGTTATTGCTTGATCCCTGTCTCTTGTGTAACGCGTTGTGCCTCAATGGCTGGAGTTTGTGGACTTACCTTGGCCGTGTTTGTTTTTTTTTAAGCTTTTGCGTACACTGACACGCTGCTGCCACTTTCGGTTGGTCAAAAAGCTCAAATAACCCATTTCGGACACTTTATAATAAGACATGACTGACTACCGAACACAATTCTGATGGGAAAAGGGGGTGGAAAGATAATGAGAGGTCGACCAGGGCTCCGTTGGCCAACAGATTGAAAATATGAGACAAGGGGGAAGAAGGCAAGCTGTGTGTATGGCAACGGCAGGCGCTGGACAAATAATTAATTAATTGGCTTGGTAAGCCATGGTACGTCTACAGTCTACCCCAGTCCTGGGACGACACCAAACCAACAACCTCTTACCACGTAATTGCACATCGAACTCCGTTGGCCACAAACATTTTACAAATTCCTTCATTCAGTACTTATAGGTCCCAGGCCTTACTCGACTACACGATGTGTTTCTTCCGGGTACATGTTATTGCAAGGGAGTGCCCTTAACTTATGTGGCATCACACTGGGATAGAGCGTGGATGGTTCTGGTGCGGATACTCATTGCGGCACTTTTGAACTCGTCGGTGTGTTTGGGGGGCAAACTATCCAACCATTTGGCTCAGCTTTAACGGAGCAGGAAATAAACGTCCAAGATTCCGCCTCTTAAATACTTACAGAGGTGAAAGAGGCAATCAATCATATCTAAAATTACCAAATAATAAACGTGCGGTGTACGATAAGAGTCCTGACAACAGAAGGAAATGTACAATAAATTATCGAATTAGTTGTGCATAGAATGAAAAACGTCAAACCATTGGTGAGATTGGTTTCGTCACATTGCCTTATTTATCATTTGCACGGATTATCCGCTTTTTTTTTCTTCCTTTTTTTTGGTAAGCGTTTTAATTAGGTCACGAGGTGACAAAGGTAAGAGGTGTTACAAAGGAGTGACAAACACACAAAAAAGAAGGAGCAGAGATAAGGACGATAGGCGTTTGATAGGAAAGTAGGAGCAAACCACAACAGGGCACCCGCCAACCACCCACATTCCCAGATTTACTCGTGCGGGAAGCAGCAGCAGAGGCAGAAAGTGACAAGTGTCCAGATTTATCCAGAGAAAAAGCCAGCGACTTAATGCGCAGACGTTTACAACAGCAGCAGCAGCTACGCCGGACAATAGCGGCTAAAGGGATTACCGCGGGATTAATGCAGGCCCGAGTGTCCCATCGCCACAGCCGGCGACCTCCAACGACGCGCCATTTTCATGCTAGGCCTAGGTGGGAAAACTGGAACTCGGTCGTGGCACTCTTTGCGTTAGTGATTTCCACAGATCGTAATGAATTAACCTGCAGGCGACAAAATTCCTACTCCAGACAGTCATACCTGCCCCTTTTTTTACTGTTGAAATATTGTTTAATTATTGTGAATGACTGAAAATCTTTTACACCCCTGTCGATTCTATTTCGATCTTCATAAGTAGGCGGGCAGCTACGATCCTGCTTTTTCGAGGGCAAACTAGGCTGAATGGAACACAACATCCTCTCAGAAAAATGAAGATACATGAACTAGATACAATAGACTTTCCTTCACGGAAGCAAACTCGCATCTTTTGTGTGAAATGGTGAGAATCCATGCTTTTAACACGGTGGTTTTTTCAAAGGCAACGCACCCAACCTGACAATAATCTTAAGATGGGAACCAGTGGGGGGGGGGGGGGGGGGGGGGGGAGAAGGACCAACTCTTTCCCCCCAATTTCAGCATAACAATAATCACACTAACACAAAAGAATTTGAGAAAGGCAACTTATCAAAACCAAAAACAACAAAAAGAAAAAAGAAAACAAAGCAAATAAACGTAGACTATTTACGTCTGAAAAAAAAGCACAATTTCATAAATAGGCATCTTATTTCCCCCCATTTATCCAAGTAACACAATTTTCCGGTTATGGAAAATTAATTCTTTAAGTTCAAAATACATCTTTACCATAATAATTCCGAAAGTGAACTCTAACTCAGTATTCAGGGTCTTTATACAGATACACAGTTGTTGTTTTTTAAAAGTAACCTATGGAAGTAACGCACAAGTTTAAGTCAATCGTACAGTACTTTCAGGTTTGTGACTTTATTATTAATCACGTTTCCAATACTATGCCTCAACAATGGAGAAAAAGTTGGGTCGCATTTTTGTTTAGCGCGCGTCCGAACATATAAAAATCAGGTTTTTGAATCAAAATGTAATGAATTCTTCGTAAATTATATAATGACAGCCGTCGTCGTAGAACATAATAATGAATATCTTCTAGCAGACGCGCATGCCCAGTCACACAGCAATGCCAGTGTTTATGTTCGCTGTCGCACGTTTCCACTGAGTGAGGCCACCAGGCATAGATTGGTCACACATGGAGCAGTGGGCAACTCGCCATCTCCCCCACCCCCTCCCCACCGCCACCACACCACACCCCCTTCCCTACCATTTCATGCTACCACTTTTACCCAGTGCACACCCACGGAAAGTTCCGTCAAATCCCAGTTTGATGTGGTTTGATAGTCAATTTGAAGGCTGCCAAATGCTCCTTCGTGGTGGGGAAATTTTAAAGTTTTTGGCTCAATTTGATAAAATTATCCTCCCAAATCAGACATGTGCAATTTTCTAGACCACGACCGAGTATATTTGATGAAAACCGCACCCAACTGGTAAGTAGAAGGCTTGTATACCTCACATCATCATCATCATCATCATCATCATCATTGCCTTTCTCACCCTGGATCAGCGTATAGGCCACGAACAAACACTTTCCACTTTTCCTTATCCTGGGTAAACCTCTTGATGTTGTTCCATGTCTTTCCACTTTCCTGTACATCAATCACATCACATAACTAGTGCGCGGAAATAATTGGCCGTAATGGATTCAATTCAATAATTTAATTTGATGAAGAAAAACGCTTCCAATTTCATACCATAGTAGTGTGCACTGACCTCCGTCGTTTTTCCCACCGACCCGACCCGACCCGACCCGACTTGATCATGCAGATCGGATCCGCCTGACCAGTGGGCATCCATTCTTATTCCACAACCCCGTCACGGTGGTCACTTCAGCGGTCGGTGGTCAATAATCACTGCGAGGTGTACACATACCGTTGTAATCTGCTCTGTCGACTCGAGGTGATATTTTAGTCGTGACTTACTTAGGCTACCGTCCTGATTTTTCAAGCGCAGATTGCACCACGCGCCACGAGGAGAGAAACGGCAATATGCCTGATTATAATTGTTCTTGTTGTTGTGTTGTTGTTGCTGTTGTTGTTGTTGTTGTTGTCGTTGGTAGGCCTATCATTTCTAGTATTAGTATCAGTGTTATTACTACAGCAGGTAGCAATCATGGTCGAGAACGAGCTTTGCCAATCCGCAGAGGAGTACGACAAGGATGTACCTTATCTCCCGATCTCTTTAATTTACACAGCGAATTGATGATGTTTAACATCAGCGATATGGAAATAGTTGAGGTCCGCGGCCACAATATGAAGAACCAACAGTATGCCGACAACAATCTTGAACTCCAGGATGTTCTAACTAGAGTGGCAGAGAAGAGAGGAGGGGCTACACCTAAGCACCAAGAAAACGGAATCCATGGTGGTCTAAAAAAAGCCGACATCCAAATTGCAATATCACGTGTAAGAATGAAAGAATAAAACAGGTAAACAGCTTTAAAAACCTTGCTTATACAGGTGCAAAATGTGACAAAGGATTTTAAAGAGGATTTTAATATCTAAAGAAACTTTGAACAAGGTGAAACCTCGTACTCTCAAACAGAAACACAACAGTGAACTCAAAGATAAGAACCCTCAAGCTATAGGTGTGGTTAATCTGTTGTATGGATGCAAGAGATGGACCCTAAACAAGGAAACAGAGAGAAGCCGCCGACATGTGGTATTTGCTTTATTAAAGAGAACACTAAGAATCTAATAGATAGAGAGGAAAGCAAACAGAGAAGTGCTCCAAATGGCAGGTTGTGAAAGATCTACAATCAGAATCTGCAGAAAGAGACAATGACGCATATAAATGGAATACATTATGGACGAGAGAAACTGCTGCATTGTGGAAAGAAAGACGGGGGAAAAGAGTGGGTATAGACAGAGAACACCATACTATAACACAGTTGGCCTGAAAACATTACGACTCATAGCAGGATGAGAAAAGACGAACTCATCGGGAAGACAGACAGAAAGGAGGAGTTTGGTGCCGTAATCGTCATTGTCTGCCCCAGACTTGACACCTGAAGGAGAAGATGTGCACATACTGACTACGCCGTCGTGGAAGACGCAGCCTCTTCTTCTTCTTCTTCTTTTTCTTCTTCTTCTTCTTCTTCTTCTTCTTCTTCTTCTTCTTCTTCTTCTTCTTTCTCATTACTATAATATATTGATACCATAAATCAATAGTTTTGACAGTATCAATTTTCAGAAACAAAACTTTCAAAAGATGCAAAATTTAAAAAAATGACCGTCTGCACCGTCTTTCCCCGGACACAACATTATCAGAGAGCAGCATAAGACAATCCATCTGAAATAAATGAGGTCAGAGAGCGCTTATAAATAATAATATAATGCAATCACTCTTATCTGCAGTTGTACGAACTTTCTGATTTTTGTCTC